GTGGGGAAGAAAGACCTGCAGGAGGTCACTTCAATGATCTGGCATAGTTTGACCAGGTTTCATGAGCAGTGACAGGCAAGGCGTCATCACACTGACATCGCAGGTGAGGATATAGAGAGTGTAAATTGATTTTGAACAGAATTTATTTTCTTGCTTCTACAATGAACTACAATATCACACTGTTTTCTACCAAATACCTCAATATTGAAGATATTGTATGGTTGACTATTGGGGCTTTAATAAAAAATTGACATTTGATTTTTTATAAATAATCATCAGTAATGTGGATATAATGACTGTGTGGGTAACGACAAATAATAGAGCAACTAAATACTGTAATGCAGCCTTTAAAACCAGGAAAAGACAACATTACAATATCCAAAATCTAAGACAATATCTAGTCTCATATCATATATCGATGTATTATGGATATATTAAGGAGTCCTAAACACAGTGAGTCTAAAAGCTCACAGAGAGCTATTGTGACTGACTAGTTCTTATGTCCCAAGCCTCCAACACAAGGGTGCCCAATACGTCGATCGCGATCGACCGGTCGATCGCGGAGGTAGTGCGGGTAGATCGCATGCCATTCAAAATAAATTAGATGTCCGCATGGCATTTGCCACTTGATTTTCTAACACACGGGTCACCACGTATGACCCGTGTGTCACACGTGGCGAGCTACTGCAAAACTCCGGCGAGCTAATTAGTTAGCCTTCCAATTTATTTCTACTAAAGAAGCTAAAGCTGTAGCGCCATGATTTGGGAAACTTCCAAAACCTTGCGTCAGAACTGGAGACTCAACGGAAGGCGTGCGCGTAACTTGACAGTGCGCGCTACACAGAGCAGATTGACAAGTGTCTGTCAGAGTTTGACAAACGCTTTCAAGACTTTGCTTTACTCGAGCCAGTTGCTACACTTATGTGCTGCACATTTCGGGAAGATATTGAGGTTGATTCACTCGCATCAAAAATTGCAACGCTGTTTCTCCTGAACTCGTCTGGAGTGGAGGATTAGATTTTGACACTGCAAGCTGACATTCAGCTGAAGTCCAGGGCTCATGGACAGTTTTCTCACAGAGGAAAAGTACCCAAACATGAGGACATGTGATCCCTTTTTGACTGCATTATTCGGCTCTACATATTTATGTGAGTCAGCCTTTTCCCACATGAAGAACATTAAGTCCAAACACCGTTCCACCATGACTGATGATCATTTGAAGTCTGCTTGAGGCGGGCTACCAGCAGCTACTGTCAGGACTATGCAACTCTGGCCAATCCCATTCAGTGCAAGTCATCAGAGTAAGGTAATGACCAAAAATGTTTTTGATGTAGGTAGATCATTTTGACTTGGTCATTTTAAAAGTAGCTCGCAAGCCGAAAAAGTGTGGGCACCCCTGCTCTAACACAACTATTTGTGTTAGATGTGGGGATGATTTAGCTGTTTGACCGTGCCTGTACACATTACAGCACATGGGTATAACTCAAGAGATGTGCAGTTTTTTTCCCAATAAATCATCTATTCAGCCTCTTTACCACAGCGAGAGATTTCTGATTACTTTAATATAAAACATGCATTTAAATAAGCGATTCAATTTAAATTGATATTACTGATGGACATTTAAATTAAGTTATTAACATCTGGAAACCATTTCATCTACTTCTAATTTCACATTCTTCATTTCTATATCCATTCAGCCATCATTTTGAATAAAGCGACTGATCAAAAGTCATTGTTGAACTCAACTATCTGACTGTTTTGAAAGAACTGAGATTCATTACTTCCTCTTATAATGACATACCAAGTGATCATGACCCCCCAGTCCTGATCAAACTGTAGGAGCGATAATACTGATAACGCTCCACAAAGAAAGTATACGCTACACCGCAGCATCAAATATGAATATCACTATCCTCGAGATATGCACAGCATATTTCCATCTCCCCTTCCCTTGTTTCTTCCTCTCTTCCTGTTGTTTGATGCCTCTCCCTCTCAACTCTCCCTCTTTATCACCTTCTCTCTTCCTCTCCCTCCCCTTTCACAGCCTGGGAGATGATTACCTCCATAAAGGGAGGCAGTGGAAATTAAAGGAGTGAGAGACAGAGAAAAAAGGAAGAAGAAGAAGAAGAAGAAGCAGCAAGAGAACAGTGTGTGTGTGGAAGTCCAAATAAAACAGTACATTAAGTCCAGGCAGGTTGCTGAGTGGAGGTGCCCCCCCGCCAGGCGTTTATCACCCTGGCAGTGCAGATCTGTGTAAATGTAGGGAGATCTCACTGCGTGTTAAAAAAACACCTCGGTGCACAGGTGTAAGTTGAATCCTGCCTGTCTGCACACTCTCTCTCTCTCTCTCACACATACACACACACACACACACACACACGCGCGCGCACACACACACACACACACGCACATTCAAGCGCAACTCTTCTCGAACATTTCTCATGACTCCATCTGAGCTAATGACTAATAAATAATGTAGACACACTCATTCACTTGCTGACTTTTCCCATCTCTGATCCCTCCGTGTTTCTCGCTCTCAACTGATGCAAACACCCTGTTCTGTCTCCCTCTCCCTCCCACTGAACATATGCCCCCCCCCCCCCCCCCACACACACGCACAGAGTCACTCTTCACAGGAACAATCTGTCCCGTTACTGTAATGTGAGGTCGCAGCAGACTGTTTTTTCCCACTTATCAGCTCTCTGGATTTAAATGAAGCCCTATCACCAATACACTGTTGCCTAGAAACACAATAGGTTGCATCAATAATAGGATTTACCCAGAAGCCTAAAGACCCCTTCAGATCTGAGCTGTGTTGCCCCCTTTTGTGCGGCTGCAGATTTCTCCTGCGTCTGTTGCACATGTGCTGTCGTATTGTGCTGTGAAGAGATCTTTAAGGGATATTCCACCCGATTTCATTTGTGTTTGCATCCCTCTATTGTTATCTTATTTCCCAGAAGTCCAGGGGATTCTCGTTGTTCAATTTGAAAGGATTTTGATGGTTTTCGATTTTGGTTGGCTCAAATGGAAAACGTCATTCCCAGTGTCCACAGGTGTGCTTTGTTCTGATTATTTTCTTTTTTAAATCGTGGCTGGCATTCCTTCCCTTATTCCTGATGTTTTCAAGATTATTCTTTTTTTGTTACGTCCTCTTGTGGTCTCAGCTGACGCATGAGCTCTGATGGCATTTAGAGGAAGTGCCCCCATGACCTCAGTACCCAGGCGTGTCTTATGTAACAGCAGCCCCCTCTGGTTATGAGGCATTTCCTGGCACTGTGATAAAAGATGGATGCCTATTCTTACTCTACTCACAGCACTTTCTTCCATGAGGACTCTTAGAATATTGAAACATACAGTACAAAGAGGACACAAGGTGCTGAGATAAGCCTGACAAAATAGGGACATATAGTAAGTACTATGAGTCAGATGTGACTGTTAAATAGACAGGACATGGGCTTAACTCTGTATGCAGGTTTAATAATCACACTATATGATAACAAACACTTATTGTACTGTGAGTCATTTGTATTTGTTGTTTCAAGTTATTGTTTATTCATTTAAAGGTGGCTGCCTCCAATTTCATGCCCCTTTTACCAAATCCCACCAGGGTCAGGTTTAATGAGAGCATCAAAGTCAGTCAAGGCTTCTTGTAGGCACATGTGTACATCTATTTTTCTATTCAAAATAAATAAATAAATGTTCAGAGCTGAGGTACAACATTTGCCTCTTTCTGACCCTCTTTGTGTATTTTGTTATTATTAGCAGCAGAGAGTCGTATTAGCTATGCTAGTAGCAGCACTCATCGTAGCAGTGACTATATATTATTGAGCCTTTCTGGTTGTTTCTATGAAAGTGTTCCTGTCTGATTTCTAAGACTCAATGAACACATTATGGAATAGATTCACTCTGCTCTGTCAGAGGTAATGAGATACAGTAGGCTACATATTAGCAGGAGAAGATAATCATCACTCTGTTGGTTTTCTGCCCACATACGGGAGTGGCGAATGGTAACATGGCAGGATGCCTGCTAAAATCTTGCAGGGTTTATAATGGGAATGTGATTTCCCTCAGTGGTTTTTGTGGTGATTCAGAATGTATTCATGTGACCCCAACCAACCCTGTTAATATATATTGTGGCAAAACCCACATAGAGTGCATTTTGTTGTCCTTTTAAAATGAACACAGTTAATAATTAACACTGATGCTGCGATACTATTACTAATGCTACTGTTGCATCTTCTGCTAATACTTCTACAATTGCTAATAGTGTTACTACTACCATTATGAATATTACCCCGGTTACAAATACTACTTAAATTCAGTTAAGCTACACCATCACTCAAATCCTCCCATACACATTATAAATGACACACTAACCTGAATTTAAAGCTACATTTATCAATGTTTTGTTATTAACAATTATAATGTAACTGCAGTTCTCCTCAGCATCTTAAGCATCTTTTAGCTCCTTGTTCTGCTATTGGGTCACATCTTACAGTGCTCATAAACATTGTTTTGCTTTCATCAAAAAGGACTGATACATCTGTAGTAAAGTGGTTTTTAGCTACTACAGGCATATAGTTAGCGTTTTAGCACTTGGTTGCATATTGCGGCGCAGATTTTCCCATTCTGGTGGGTGTAGTTTTAAGAGTATGACGCATTACGCTCTCTCTATATATTCAATTGAGCTTTTCATAGGACATTGATTCAAGCACCATCAGCATTTGTTAACAACTAGTAGCCTATAATGAGTTCAGCAGCGTTCTGTGTAACACATCGCCTGTTCTCCTCGGTTGAACTCTAACAAAACGTACTCTATCCAACCTCATTGTTAGTGGCTGAACATCCACTGCTTTATTCAACTCCAGTCAGATCGACTCAGAGGTATTTGCTCCGTGTATGTGTGTGTGTGTGTGTGTGTGTGGGGCGAGCACGAACAAATGGGCGCTGAAACACACAGTGTGTGTGTGTATTATCCATGGAGTGGGAGCGAGTCTCACCTTGACATACAGCTGCTGGAACTCCTCCAGGTTGAGGCGGCCGGTGGGACAGTCCTTCAGGAAACCCTTGTACCACTGCTTCAGCTCATGTTCGTTAAACTCTGTGTTCTTCACCAGGTCCTCCATCACTTCAGGGGTCAGCTTGCTGTTCTGTTTCCCCATTTTGCCTGCGAACAGGACACACACATACACACACACACACACACACACACACACACACACACACACACACATACAAAATTAATGATTTTAGGCACCTTTCAGCTCAGACTTTACTGCTTTACAAATGACATGTTCTGAGCCTTAATATATGGAGGCTGTCACAGAGCTATTTATCGAGGCTGAAAATAGAGATTTCTAGAGAACTGTGAAAGTGCGAGCCAATCTGTCTGTGTGTGCACAGGGCTGAGGAGAGCAGCCTCTGGCAGGCATCCAAGGGGGGCTGCACGCATAACCAGGGGCCTGCCATGCTGCGTTAGCTTTTGCAAAGTTCCATTCAAGGACGCTTCTTAGGGACCATTTTTCTAAAGCATGCCATGCGTTTTTAGATTGATTGTGGACCTTCAACGTTGCATCTGGTGTCCATTTGTTTCAATATGTTATAAAGATCAACAACGCAGACACTTGGAGCTCACCTGAGACAGGTAACGCATCGCTTTGCTGCCTTTTTTGAAAGCCAGAGTTACATCATAGACAGGAGACCACTGCCCGCGGTTCAATCATGTGAAGGCTCATAAGGGATTAAAGGGTCTACATTATAGTCTGGAGCCAGGTCATGAAGAAACTTAGACGTTATCAATAAAATCTGAAAATGAAAAATGGACCAGAGTTCAGCCTGGATGGATGTCCTCTATCAGCTGAGCCCAATGAAGCGCCTCGACATGACTGATGCTCACCGACAAACATCACTTCTGGCACATCCTTGATGAATTCATTAGGGATAAGCAGCATTTTGGATCACCTGCATTTGTGCAAATCAAGGCCCTTTTCTTTTTGCTTTGCAACTGTCAAACACAGGAAAATGATGTTTCAGATTCAGAAGCCTTGATCACAAAAATAACACTAAATCCAAACTGTAGACATCGTGTGAACTCAGAAAGTTATAGCTCATTTACTCAGCTAAGACACTTTGGTGCATAAAGCCACAGGACCATTACATCCCATCCATCCACCCTTTCCCCTACGTTTACATGAGCCGTCTGTGTGTGAGGAGGTAATACTGCAGTTATCACACAGATTATGCAATATGAGCACACAAAAAGTGTTTGAATAAAAAACCTTGCATCTCTCAAATAGGAGCTATTGAAGAGCATAGAAAAACAGCCTTGTGTTTATATGGCCTGCTGGTATTGTAAGTGCATTCAGCTGCTTCTGAAAGGAGAGGACGTTGTATATCGTTCTCGCTCAGAATCAGAACTGACCCTGACATCCTTTAACTGCAGTTTTAATGGGAAAATCAACACAATTGGTGCTCTGCGTTTTTCAATGGTGGCAAATGAATTAGTAGCAGTGGATCAGCACAACAGCAAAACTGTTAGCAAACAATGTGTAATAAAATCCCTGTTGCTGGGCAATGATTTGTTTCCCCAAAACATAAACACATGGCAGTCTGATTTGTCTCGCATTCAGAATATGCCTCCTTGATATGTGAAAATGATGCTGCAACAACAGTAATTGAGCCGACAAAAGACGTTTTGACACGCCCATAAGTGCATTTGATTTTTACTTCTTTAGTTCTTGGTAGAGATGACAACTGTCTTTTTGGTTCTACAGGATTTAAGTTTTCAGAAGGGTTCAATTCAATTTTCAATTTAATTCAATTGTATTTGTTTGGAGGAGGGATGCCTCTCTCAGCATGGACAGAAGTAAAATAGATATTTGGTGGTGAAAGACTTGGATTCATTGATCCAGTGATGTAGTATTATGTGTCTATGACGTTTGGGGATTTATGAGAGGCTGATTAAAAAAAAACAATGGAAGCAGCAGATACAGTATATCCTGACTTTTAGTCCCTATGGCTCAAGACAAAATAAACGGGCACCAAAATGTTCCATAATGCAACTCAAAAGGTTTATTTCATTAAAGCCTCCCTGCTTGGTTTCACACTCTACTCCACCACTTAAGGCGGGCTTTCTGATATAACTTTGTAGTTTTGTACTATGACATCATCGGGGTTATTTCCCAGATCTCACAGCCAGCGCAACAGAAACAGTACGTTTCTTTAAAAAATAAAGATCGGCCTCTCCCCAAAACAATCCAGCTTAAAAGATTTGATGAGGGATTTGAATGATTGTGGTTCAAAAAGGGGATCTGATGCTCGATTCAGATTCAGTAAATGCTACTGTACCCTTGTTTTCAGCTCCTCTCTTAAGGGCAAACCACCGTGCACTGACCAGAGTAGAAGAGTACATGTGCAGCAGTCGTTATGGGTGAATCAATACTGTCTGAATATGACAACTAAAACAAGCCTCTTCTTGTTCCTGCGTGTAGCATTCAGAAACATTGGGTTACATGAGGAAAAACCTCTCAATGCTGCAGTGAAAGTGAGGAGGCAGTGCAGTCTGCATGGCAGCTAGTTGCTAACACTTTCCTGCTACAATATAGTCTGTCCGACAAGATGGGCTGAGTCTGAAGACAGCAGCTGCAGCTGGAGACAGATGTGTCCCGGGAGAGATGTGAGCACACAGCCGTGCCATTATGTTACTGTGCAGGTCTGTGTGATGCATTTGATGTGTGTTTGTCAATTTGCATGCACTCTGCATCCCACAACTACAGAAATCATTAAGAATTAAGCTTAATGTTCTCTATATGATATACAGAACATTAATATAGCTGACAACTGTTATCTATGTAAAGATATAGTGGAGTAAAGTACCTACCTGAGCAGAGAACGAAGTCCTCTGTGTGTTCTAATCAGAGCTTCTCTGTGCTTTGTTGACATAGCTGGGCCGGCCGTGCATGCTTTTTAGTGCATGTTAGTGCACGTGAGCATGCCCCACTGGCTAGCTCATGGCCGCCGTTGGGCACTGCTCTCATACGGCGGTTAGAGCTGGACACCATTGTTGTGGAAGCGTAGCGCCCACCCTCCAGTTCCCCCTCACGTTTACACTGTTAGCTCTGTCAGCACTGTTGTTGTTGTTGTTTGCACTGTTAGCCCTGTTAGCACGGTTAGCTCAGAGCCACCGGCTCAGCCTTTTTCATGTTGAGAGCCGTGTGGAGGCAATAGACATGCTCTGAATTTCGCTTTTAGCACCTTCAAGTGCTGCATTTCAAGGCTACACAAGCACTTACATGAGCATAATGTCAGCATAAATAAGAGCGCTGCAGGGATGACGAACGTTTTTGGGCCAACCCAGAAGTTAGCATTGTACTGGCTCTCTTGACAAAAAGTTGAATTTTGGATTAATGCAGAAAATGTGGCAAACTAACGTTTATGATTTGTTTTACAGGTTTTGTTTAGCAAGATATTCTTCTCAAATTTTGATCATAAAGCGTGACTGCAGTCACCAGAAGTAAACTAATGTTAGGCTGTAAACAAACTACACCACGGTCTCATGAGCGCGAGTAAACACGACGGGGCTGTGATGGCGGACTAATCGGTGTGATAGCGTTTAGCAGTCTCATTTAGCCACTTGTTAGCCACTGACTTTTTGAAGACACGTACACAAAACTTCAAAATTCACCAGAGGGGTATTTCTGAAGTATATTATATTGTAGAACAAAAGTGAAATTCTCTTAAGCTTCTGTTAATCACAGACCTCATTTAAGGCATCTAAACAAAAAACAAATCAAAAACCACATTGACTTAGAGACGAGGGAACTGGAAATGCTGACTCATTTCCAGGTTTCAGGACTCATTCCGCTATCACGCTAAAGCAAACACAACACGGAAAACTTGGGGAATATATCTGATGAAAGAGACAGACTTCTGATGGGGTTCTAAATGTTAATTCACTTCTAATATGAACACAATGTGCTCACAAGAGCTCACACTGCGTCTTAATGCAAGTGTTACTCATTACTCCGTCTCCCTTCATTCAAGCAGCAAGCAGCAGAGCTGAAGCTGCATCTGTATAATGTCAGCGTGTTACCGGTGGCCCAGCTTTGTCACTGTGAGAGCTTTTTTTACATGTCATGCAGTAATACACCTGATAAAACAAGTAACTTATACAGACTATATAAGAATTTATCTTGAGTTTTTAATTTATGGTGTACAAAAAGGCAAACTAACATTTAAATAAATCACACATTTTTGAATACCGCCCCCTCATCTCACTTTATGTAAAACCTCCAACTGCACAACCTTTAAAGTGACGCAAGTGGCAACATGCTGGAGCTTTCGCAAAACATCTTCCTACGCATGTTTGAATAGACTTTTTAAAGACCACCATTGTGTCTGTTTGCACACATCGGAGTTATTGGATGGTCAGTCAGAAAATACACATTTTTGTGCCGTTTTGCCAGGAATTAATGATCCGTCTTCCATACTTTTCATTCTCATATGAACACCACCAGTAATTGCCATTTTTCAGAGCTGGAGCCTTGTGACTCTCATCTGTCAATGCTCATCTTGCACTGCAATACTGAGGGAGGAATGGAATGAAAACCATCTTCAAATGTTAGATAACTTCACGAAATCTCTCTGCTCGGTAATTCCTCGGTAGTCAGCAGCCTTTAAATGTGAGAATGAGGAAATTACTACATTCTGCAGCTCGCTGTGTTACATTTCCACTGCTTCCACAACGGACAAACACGGACAAACACGGGCTAACAGTAACAGGAAAAGATGAACAAAGAAAAGGAGCATTTTTTTTTGAAGATGCGAGTAGTTTTCATCAGTAACTAATGACAACCATTACCATGCATAGAATTAAGCGCTAACAGGGGGGCGGGGTGTGTTCAGTATTTTGTACTGACAAGAATGACATGCCTCTGAATCCGTCTCAAACCCCCCCCCCCCCCCCTGATTATTTCATAGCACTTTCCTAGCATGTGTTATTTTTAATTTTTTTTACTGTGCACAGACATATATTGTGCATAATCAGCAGATGTCAGTGCTTTATCTTAGCCGGAGCGATGAGAGAGGCAGAGTCTAGGACAAGACACTCTGGGTCAGCCTGCAGTAGCGATGCACCATGCTGACTCCAGACCTGAGTCATTATCCCTATTCCGCCAGGTCCTCATCAGAACCAGCAAGAAAACAAATGGCAGCTGCGGTAACGCATCAGCAGACAGGTGTGGACCTGACACATTTTACGGTCCTGTAACAACCAGCAAGACCTGCAACTGAGCCAGGCGGTAGGTGGGCTAATAAATAACACTGTCCCTTTAGCATCATTTGCCAACAGGGGATGACCTTGAGCGGCAGGCAGAGCTCCAGCCAAGAGAGGCCCCATCAGATAGGAACAATGCAGCTCCAGGATCAGATTCACGGAAATCTGCTAGATTTTTTTCTGTCATCCTGCTGCCTTTGTATGTGTGTGTATGTGTGTGCGCAGAAGAGTATAAATGAATATAGCCTCCACAAAGCATGTAGGGATTCGTGGATGAGATGTGGTCACGCCTGCATTGATTTGCAAGTAGCCTCATTGTGAGAATGATGTGTGACAAAAAGAGACCCCACCCCCCTCCTCCTCCTTCAGCGCGCAACACACACCCTTGCAACATCAGCACCAGTGCAAAACTCCACCAGAATACATCATCACACCACCTCGTGCCACGTAGAGCCAAGACACGCAAAGTCACAATTGTAGTCGAGAAAAAAAAATCGGGGACATTGTGTTAACCAGCCGGCACAAATGCAGATTCGTCTCTGCCTTTACACTTTTTGTTGTTGAATCGAAAGCCTGGTGTGCGTGTGCGTGTGTGTCTAGGCAGTCCGAGTAAATCCAAGCAAGACATGCACAAAACCATGTTTATCTAACGGTGACAAGTCGCGTTTTTACGTGCAAAACGTACAAACGGCTACAGAGGCTATATATAAGTGTCGTTACTGAAGTTATCATTCATATTTAATTAATAACTCCATAAATGGGTCTTATGCAACCAAAAGGATGACGCACTGCAGGTTACATCATGCAGGTCAATACCATGATTTACTCCATGCTAAAAAAATCAGAAAAACAAAACAGGAACCCTTGAACGCATCACACAGAACATCCATCCTACCTTGCGAGAGTGCGGAGTCAACGGGAGAAGTCCGGGCTGGTGTCTAGAGTGGTCAAAAGAAAACCTGCGGGGACGGGAAAAAAGAAGCGGTTCAAAGGTCTGAAGCTTCCCGTTGAGCCACTGGTAGCTTAATATTTCTGTCGTGCGTTTTTGTTTTCTCTATGGGGTTTTATTTATTTTTCGGGAGAAAAGTCAGCGGTGCAGGTCCGGAGGGCGATGCTGCTGAACACACACTGATGTTGATGTGCCGAGAGGAGGAGACGGATACTGAGAGAGAGAGAGAGAGAGAGAGAGAGAGAGAGAGAGAGAGAGAGAGACAGACAGACAGACAGACAGACACAGAGACAGAGAGACAGAAAGAGAGAGGGGGGAGAGAGGGAGAGAGAGGGAGAGAGAGAGAGCGCGCGCGCAGTGCATCTCTGTCTCTCGCGCAGTGTGTTTTGAGTATTAAAACATTAAAACATGATGCAGCGAAGAATAAAGAAAGAACAAAGGCAGCAAGAAATTATAAATACAAACACGAGTTTTCATATTTGATAATAAAGTTCAGCTATTTCTTATCTGACCTTTCTATGACATCCAGTGACGGAAACAAACTATTTCTCAAATTCTTAAAGCAAATCCACACAATGTAACGCTATGTTAGCTAAACTAAATAAGGTTAGCTTCGTTCAGCAGCAGTGGTTTGGCGCCACATAGAGGATAACAGGAAAACGACATCATCATTAGCTAGCCAACAGACGCACATATCGGGTCAGGTATGTTATGCTTGCTTAATTAACTTAGAAGGTGAGTAATTGACAAAGTTAACTAACAATAGCTGGTTAAAGAAGCATAAGACCTAACTATCTTACAATGTCGAAAGGTTTGCTTATGTTCCGTTTTTAATAGTAGAGTTGGAATATAAGTTACCACAAACGCTAAGCTAGCTAACCGCTAACGTTAGCTGACTTTGCTAATGAAAGTCATTCTATTTAACATACTGTAATACATCGATATGCTGGTTTGAGTTATGAAAACTGATTAGCTCAAAACGGGGAATTGCCAGCATCCAGCCAGCTATCTTACCTGAAAGGTTTTTCTTTTCTTGCTAAATTTGGCATAAACTGGTTAGTAAGAAACATTGGTGAAACAAATCAGTCCACACAGCAACGGAATTCAAAAAATACGTTTTTTGAATGATATTATGAGATTGCTTTGATGATCCATTGTGTAATGGGATTATGTGAATGTTATAATATTACTATTTCACCTGGTAATTTAAAGTCCAGTCTGCTATAAAGCATTCTGTAGCTATGACAGTGGTAACGTATTTTGGGTGTATTATTTTTGCTCTGCTAAGTTATCATAGATTGCTTGATATTTAAAAAATAGCTCTTTGAGCATGTATTTACAAGACAGAGAGATAGGTAAGATACATCACATGTTTGATGCCTTCACCTTGGTTTCCTAAAATTCTTCCTTCTAACAATGAATACAGGACACATGAGGGCCCATTTTCATAGAAGACATTTAGACATGTCACATTAAGAAAAACACAGGTGTTATTATTAAGTATTAGTTATCATGACAAGTCAAAATGTCTGAAAGGGCCCACGTGCATTGAAACAAAGCTGGCCTTCTCAGAAACTGATGCACAGCAGTTGTTGATTTGGTAGTTAATGTATGGAAGCAACAGAACAGTGCTACAGTGCCATCTCTGTATTCTGTACAGTGAATCAGCATCATTCTGTGTAACATTCTGTTCTGTTATAGGAAATGCACTCACTGGACATTACGTAGTTGTGTTTTGCTGTGGGATTACTGTCATGTGTTTTGAACTGCAGGTTTGGTGTAAGAGGGACTATAGCTGTTATACAACAGAGCAAATGGGCTATTATGGTAATACATGAGGAAATATGACTATAGCACAGGCTGAGGTTCAAAAGACCATCCACTTACAGCCTATTTTGAATCACTAGATTGAGTCGGTATTCTAAGTCTTTCTTAATGTGGAATAGGTTATTCTAGAAATGTTATCTACCAAAATAATGTTATGCATTACATGATTGCATTCTTGTGATAGAGTGACACTCTAGTCATTGTTTTCACTCAAGCTGTTTCTTTTTCAGGTATTTCAGAAAAGAGAAAATGGATACAATAACACAAGAAGATATCAGTCCACAAACTGAGAGAGAGCTCACTTCACCACTTTCCCCCAAACGACCAAGGACAGACTGTACACACGACAACAATGGCAAAAGCAGTTTTGACTTTCCAGAACTTTTGGCGTTTTGGAAAACCTCCTCCTCATCGACAAGTACCTTGCAGGAGAATGCAGGCTTAGTATGCAGAGCAGAAAGTGCTGATATTGAAGATGAAAAACCTCATGAGCAACCACAAGACGCTCAATTAATTGTCATCCCCATTACTAGCTTGACTACTTCACACACTAAGGATGCACACACCGGATCATCTGAAGTCTGTTTGATCGCTGCAGAGAGATGCTTCAAACTCCTGGTGAGAGATGAGCAGCCTCCAGTCACTGCAACTGACAAACTCAGCTCATACCTGCTAGATGATGAAGATAGGGCATTAGCAGAGACCTTAAAAGAGACTTTAAAAGACGCGAGCGCTGATTCATCCAGTCATCCTGATTGTAAACTGCTGGGGAAATCAGTTGAAGACGAGCCCCCTGGTGCTCTCGGTCTTCACGCTGGAAATAACGAAGCTGGGAGACCGGTGCAAAACAGTGCCAGTCAAATCCGAGCATTAACAGTCAGTTCAAGTGATGGGTGGGTCAGATGCCACTCTGGTTGCACTTATGGAAATGCGCTACATGACACGGGTTTCTATAACACGTGGAGCCAATCTGTAGAAGCTGAAGACAGTAATCAGGAGTGGGAAGAGCATGGATTTAGTGAGAGTATCCTTTTCAGCAAGGAAAATGAAGAAGATAACAGTCTTCTATATTTCACTCAGGCAGACTTTGATTCTTTCTACTCAAACCTGCAACCCTCTGGGAACTTGGCACAAGGTATAAAAAATGAGGACAAAATATTAGAATTGCAGATTTGTGAATATGAAAATGTTGCCATCTGTAACGGGGAAACAAAAGACCAAGTTAATGAGAATGGCATGAGCATAAACTCCATCCCTTATGTTGCTCTATTTGCTGAGGGATCAATTGTTTCTTATGATGTGGTATCAGCCAGAAATATTGCAATTGAGAGTGCGAGTCTTGAGGCTGATGACTTCTTTGGGGCAAAAGGAGAGGAGGCTGCTGGCAGGATGATAGCCAAAGCTCTGAGTGAAACGCCTGATCACACAACAGAGACTCCAATGCCTGCACGAATCAGTCAAGGGCCTGCTGAAGGAGATAATGATGCAAGCCCTTTCAGTGTAATTGACCCTGCAATCTGGAGTGAAACTGACAGGGAGGCTAAAGAGAGGCGCTGTAACTCAGCGAGCGCCGCTGCAGGTGTAGAATTATTTCCAACAATAAAAGTCTTGGAGATGGAAACACCTCTCCCACTCTGTTCCGACGTCCGGCTATCACAGGAGGTTTCAGCCCCCGACCAGAACAGGAAGTCAAATCCCCACAGCAGAACACAGCAGTGCAAAGATGAAAAAGAGGACTTATGGCAGTCATACCCAGAACCACAGGCTTGTTCTATCAACACCAACGAAACACACAACAAGGCTGGCAGCGACGGCAGCTGTCACTGGAAATCCAGTCCCAGCAGCAGGCCAGCAAAGCCTCCTCCTGCAGGGAATGGAAGACGAGACAGCTATGATACTGTGGGACATCAGTTGAAAGAGCAGGATCAGTCTGGCTGTTTTCCTGTCAGTCCTGACCAGATGAAGACAAAGGAGGTTGAATATTTACAGGCTGAAATCGCCACAATGGATGGGGCAAGTGAGATAAAAGAAAGGGAAGGAATGACAGGTTTTGAAGAGGAAATAAGAACTGGTGAGCACGAGAAACAACCAGAAAACTCACCGGACTTTGAGCGAAAACTGCTGCAACAAAAAGAAAAATACACAGAAGACGCAACTGAAATATCAACTGGTGATTCCATCAGTGACGGGACAGAGGGCAAAATAAGTGAATATGACCACAAATTAACACATGTTGATGACGCATTGAAACATAATCTTGGAGTTTTGTCTGATCACCCATACAATGCTGTAATTGTAGCAATGGAAGGGACAGCAGAGGAAAAGGAAAGAGAAGAAAGTGATGTGCATGGTGACTCAGAGATATTAGTGAAATCAGAGGTGGATCATCAGCAGCAAAGTCAGCAGAAGGAAGACATGCCTGAGGAATGTGCCAGTGAACACACAGAGGGAAACGTGAGTATAACTGGCCACAAGTTAACCCTCGTGAGTCACCATGAGCAAGAAAACAAGCTCAGCTGTTTCTCTGATTCAACATTCATGGTTGGTAATAAAGATGAGCGTTTGGCCTTCACTGCCTTCACTTTCAACAGCCGTATGCCAGGGGGATTCGACACTTTCGAAAGGATCCAACTCTCACTGGATGGTGATGAAGACGGCCTGAGCAGCAGCCCTCTCCTCACCAGCCTCCCCGGGCAGCTGCTGAAATCACCCCAGCAACAACCTCACCACTCTGTGCGGGAGGCAGAGAGCAGTGAGCCTGAGGAGGTTCCACAAGAGGAGGAGGAGGAAAGATGTGTTCGTCACACTGAGAACATGGCAAAGGGATTTTCCAGCAGCGATACCAGCAGTAATGAAGTCCCCAACTTTATCTCAGCCGCAGCAGATGACATTGCTCTCGCACGGCCAGAGCAACAGCCTAACTGTGAATCAGCGTATAATTCCTCTGAGTGCTTCCACACACAGTCAGCCTCCACTGTCCCCTCTCACGGTGACTGTCCAGCCTCTGATGTGAACGACAGCCCTAAGTTTGAGAAGAAAAAACTATTCGACATGGTGTTGAAAGAGCTGAACCTGTTTTTTGGGGTCAGTATAAGTGATTTCACAGGAGACAGTAGAGCATCGTCGCCTGAGCAGTGTGTTGATGTAACTGAAGCCTTGGATGGAGACACTTTGAACTGCAAAGAAAATCTCAGCAGCCCAAAACTAGGATGCTATAGAGACACATTGTCAGGTAACAGTATGCATTATTTCATTTACAATATGAAAATGATGATTTATGGACAGGTTCCAGTATTGACAGCACCCATGAGCTACAGCTGCAGCAGTAAGCACTATTAGAAACAGGCTCACCTTGAACAGTGCCTTAGGGCCCCTCCCTCTCCTAAGTCAATCCTTTACAAATTGTTTAATTTATTAGTGGTTATCAAATGACAACAAAGACCAAAGTAATTGTGTTAGGAGATGGCTCCCTCCATAGCTACTGCCATCCTCAGCTCTGGAAAAAAAATGTGTTCAATTCTCTTCTTTACTAGCCCGACAGGACATTTGACTGGCCCCAGGTCAGCGGGCAGTCCTTATTGGTGAGCCCTGTGAATGTGTTCAGTGAACTCAAAGTGTAACTTAGGTATTCTTTTAACCTGGACCCTATTTTCCAATAGGAACAACAATTATTATTATTATTGGCAGTAACAATTACAATCAATCCTCTTAATCGACACCACGGTGCTCAAACAAGGATGCTAGAAAAACATGAAAACATGTCCTGATACATTCCAACTGCCCCGTGTTGCATGTCTGTTGTTTAGATGATGCTGATGACGACCCCAGCCTGGATCCAGAGGCTTCTTGTACCTCTGGGGGTGCTGACGGCGAGCAGGAGGTGCCCCATCTGTGCCAGGAAACATCCACGTGCACTGAAGAGAGACACAAAGGTTGGTTTTCTTTTTTTAAAAGGGTATTATTTCTTCAGGAAGAAAGAACCAAATATCAATAAGTATTTCAGTAATCACTGTTTATAGCAAGGGTGAAACTAAATAGTACTAAAAAGTAAAATAACGGTTTGCTCCACCAGAAAACTTCCTTTGAAGCACATTTTCAACAGTTAAATTAAAGTCTGAAATACATGACATAATAGTTTAATTAGAGCAAGCTGTTGTGTTGTTTGTTCCGTTGTTTTCAGTGTTGGGTGATAAAGGGTCAGCTAGGTTAAGTCACTGAGGAAATACAAATGTTTGTATTGATTTATCTTTTTTAATTGACACAGCTTGCTGTAATGGATGTTCATTCATTTCCCTTCCTCAATGAGCTGCAGTGGAACGATGAATGCAGAAGCCTTGTTTAAGCGTAAACGGAGCAGCCAATGAGACAGAATGAGCCGTCTCTAACTGTCAGTCTGTTCCTCCCAGAGCCCCCGCACACGGAGCACAAAAGGACACTATGGTCTCCGTCCTTCGAGGGTCCACCACTCTTGGAACAACTGAGCTACAGTGAGTTGTGATCATAGTGGCAGACAGCAAGATAAAAAGAGCATTTGATTGATATTTGATTTGTTTCAACGACTGAAAGAAAGGACACTTAAAAGATGTATTTTAATGTCCGCACACATTGTCATGATTGGTGCACACTGGGTCTAGTGATTTATTTTAGGGTAATTGTAAATCATTTGGACTTTATTTTCTACCATATAGTGAGATAAAAGCAAACCGAATATGGCATGGAAAGACAGAAACACGTCCTAAAGAGAAACATGTGCATGAAGCACAGAAGCTCGTCTCCACTGCATGAGGAACCCAGGTGTCTGCTGGGAGTTAAGTGGGCCGGCCTCTGAATATTTAAGAGCAGAGTCGGTCTAACAACCTGCAAACCTGGAGATGCAATGTGTTCCCCTGTCAGTTTGAGGGGACACATCTGTCTAATGGCATGCATACTCTGTCGAGCACATTGAGAAGCACTTTGTTACTCTTGTCAGCTTTAAGAGAGCTGAAAGCATCAGGAAAGGCAGTACGTCCATTTGCTTTTCTTTCAACCATTAATAGAAAACAAAAGCCAGAATGTGCTGCGTGGCTTTGTGTCTAACCAAATGAAGACTGTTTTATTTTCACATTGTTGTGTTTGTGTGTTTGCAGGACAGCCGGAGCAAACCAGGCGACTGGAGCCTCTGCGAACATGCACACGACCGATCCGGGTCGGACTGTCAAAGAGAGCCAAGACCAAACATCTGCACCGCCCACACCCCTACAAATGAACCAACGGCTTGGGGCTTAGAAGCCCTCTTTGTTGCCATGTCCAATAACTGTTGGTGCGTTTCTTGTTCTTCTACGCCTTCTTGTTGTCTGCGAGTGGTTCTGGTTCCTGTACATGTGTACAGCTGCTTCTTTACAATGCCTCGTCACCTTCGTCCATCTTCTTACGGAGCTTCCCGTTTGATCACAGTCTCCTGCTGTTTGCCCACTGAGCAGCTGGGGAGTGAGTGCCTTGCCCAATGACAAACCTGCTTCCTGTCCATATATACCCTGCTGAAAATAATATTCTAGTTTTAAAAATATATTCCCCAATTTTTATGCACTGATCAATCTATTTATATATTTATTTATTTGCTTCTTTCCAACCCAGATTAGGGTTTTAAAAAATGTATTTATGTATAACCTTGCTATGTATTTATACACTACATATTTAATATTTATATGAACTAGTTTTAACATGGTTGTGTGTTTGTTCCATGTGATTGTTTCTGCTGTTCCTCACTGTGCGTGTGTTGACACAGTGCTACTTGTTCCTGTAAGGTGTGGGTGCCTGCAGTCTGAATGAGCTGAGGATGCTCTGATGCTGTTGTCTCACGTGTACTCTGCAACATGTCCTTGAGCACTTCTGTGGGAGGTTAGCTGGAGTTGAACTGTTCCCCATTGAATTCAATAATATAATTGCATATAAAAATGTGTTTGTCATGTATATGCATGAATCTTCCTTAAGACAAAACATAGATCCAAGCTCTTTATTTTGACAAACGAGGAGAATTTACTCAACACAGATCTTTCCTTCCACAGCCGAACTTATTGTTTGTTCTAACTCATAAATAGATTTACTCTTTTTCAACAACTTGTTCAGCTAAATGTACTCTTCGTTATCGTAGCAGACGAACACATTCCAATTTTAATAACACCCTTCCACTACTGGAGCACAACATAGCAATACATATTAATGAGCTGATCATCTGTAAACTGGCTGTATTCGGTTAGTAGCTGAAGAGCTACCAGTGGAGTATAAATGGAGTTCAGCTCACGAGACGCTGAGCTGAGTTCCCAGATGCAACAGATAGAGAGCTGCTGAACTGGCTGTAGATAGTGGAAGTGATGAGAGTGCCGTTTGGGTTTGTTTACCACCCACGGCTCCCGAAATGTGAAGGGAAGAGGTTTGTTCTTTATTGTGTTTGTTCTCGTGCATGTAGGGAGCGATCTAGTGACAGTAACGAGGAAACCCACAAGACAACTTGACTGCAGCCGTTTAAATGAATAATTCAGCCTTATTGCCAGTGTTTACTTTTCTTCACTATCGTATTCAATGCAGCATTGCTTCTAACTGATCAAACAGAAGGTAGCCTGCTGCCGACACGCCCTGGTTCATTGCCTGGAAGTCCTCTTTGTAAAGGAGCAGAATGAAGATGTTGAAATGACATCACACGTTCTGTTGTATAACTGGACTAATTAGGAGATTCTTTCCTCTTAAATCTGGCTCCAATTGTTCCCTTTTTGTTCTTCAGTGTATTTTATCAAAGCAATTTGATTTTGTTGTATTCCCTGATGTTTTTCAGGGCTTTGGAATAACACTTGTATTTTATGTCCTGATCACATCTCTGAATTAAAATGGGAGGATTTGTTTTTTGTAAATATCAGCATTTGTTTGTGGAGCATGTGGTTTGAATGAGTGAGGTGCCTCAGCTGGCAGTCAAATCAAAAGGAAACAACGCCACGGCATGACTTTCCAAAAATAATTGGATTCAAATGCTTCACATTCAATCTGCCTTTTTAATCGGGCACAGTGAGGCCGGGGAGTGGAATTACATTGGTTCCCAGTTGATAATGACTTTGTCAGTGCTAGTTTTGTTTTCCCAGTTTGTTTGTGATGCTGATTGTTGCAGTGCTTAATCTTTACGAGGTTATGATATTTTTACCCCTTTAGCTGAAAACATATTTCATTCAGCCATTGGTAGTGACAGTTTATTATTACTTATTACATTATTCTAACAACGTAATGTTCCATTTATTGTCTTTAACAAGATCAGATTTCCATCTGGAACAGTATTTCATCCTTTTTTAATTTCTTACTGATTACACACAGGCCAGTAATCTTCTGGTGTTAGTTACACTTCACTTGAAGTGCAGTGGAGTGTGTTACCGAATGACCATTCTTACATAATTGTCATATTTCCAAATGAATTCCAGACAATTTTACAGTTAATGAACCACACTATTATTAAGAGGAAGCCTCTTCTGTCCTTGGCCTACTTACTGTAGGTATACGTGAAAGTCGACTGCTGCAGCTAATGAAGAAAGATTTGTCTATGATAGAATTAATGGCATTGAATATATGATTGTTTTACAAAGTTGTTTTATATATATATATATATATATATATATATATATATATATATATATATAGCATATTATTAACGGTTATTACCATGTGCTCATCAAATGTTGATGATGCTTTCAAATCTTTTGAACTCTTTTTTAGACCCTCACACGATCCCATTTCCAAAGATTGATCCGTTTTTTCGGTTCATGTATGATCTGAATTTCCCCAGAAAACAGGGTGAAATATATTTCCCCTACAACATAGTTCATGCAGTAGAGGGTTCATTTTCTTTTCCCATTAATGTCAGATGTGACGTTGAACTGGTATCTGCTGTCTTTATGTAACATGAAAGACACATTACAGCTTTAGAAATGGAGGAAACGTCAAAGCTTCCAGTGGAGCCAGAAGTTCTCTCTTCTTTCTTTTAAGTTCTTACTAAATGACTCTTTCATCCTTTTTACAAATGCTTCACTGTATAATTCACTTACCTCTAATTATGATCTCCCAGCATAACCCAGGGATTCAAGATGGAGAACAATAGCAGAAAGGAAACCTGGCAGTGACTTACACTCGGCGGAAGAGAACAGGAGCGTTATCCCAGCATGAGAATCCAAGTAATGTTGTTTTGCTCACGGAGAGACCTTGAAGATGTATTTCCCTCCCTTTATCCCTCCCGTTGAATCATTTGCATGGCTCCTCTGTGTAGGAAGAACCACTGTGGCCTATACTTGGAAAGCTTATTACTGGAAAGCTGCAGGATAATTAATGGGTATCAGCCAATTTGCCTTCAATATTTCAACAGCTAGCAGGAGCAGTTATTATACAGCTTTAAATATCTAGTTCTTCTTTGGCCCGGGCGTCTTGCAGAGTGTGAATACAAAGGAAATGTGAGCGATGCCTACATTAACAAGCAAAAAATTCTATCATATATGATGTCTTGTTTCTCCTGTGCAAGGAAAACACAACAGCTTTATCGTCTTCTTTCCGCTGTTACATCCACACCAAAGCTTTAAGGTGTCTGTCTGCATCAAGACGTTGTTTACATTGACGCTGAAGCATCTTTGTGCTTTTATCAAAGGAGAAGCTGTGGTAGGAACCTGTCTGCAGCAGACTACAGCATCTCCACAGCAAACAAGCAGGGCTTAAGCTAAGAGTGCCTCTCACACATTACAGCACTGTATGTATACTTGCTCACACACAAACTAAGCCTGCATTTGCTGCCTTTTCCAGATCAATAGCAATCACCGGGCCACAGCAGAATCAGAGGATCGAATCCAGAGACTAAAAATACACCGCCTCCGCACACTACTGAGCTAGCTGCTGGATCATAAAGCCATGACAGTGACCAGGACTAAAACACTTTTGATTGTACAAATGTCATTCCATGGATACTTTTGTCATAAGTGCATGATACGCTGCCTTATCAATCTGTGGGAATATCGCCAAAAAGCAGCTCTGGCAGAGAGCCTGATGTGGACCAGGACAAAAATAGTGCACAGTGGGGGCTGCTTGAATCTGAAGTTGTTGAATCACACTTGATTTATCTCACCCAGCAACTAAAAAGCCCTCAAAAGTGGACAATTTGTGAACACTCAAAATGTATCGCACTGCTGTGTTGCTCAGGTCTGCAGTAATCTCTACTCTGGTACAGAGAAGGAAGGGCAGCGGGCCGAGAGAAAGGACAATAAGAGGATCTCACAGTCCAGTGTTTTGACACAACTTTGCATTGTTGTTCTGCCTGTTCCTGAAAAGCTCTAATTAAATGGACAGGAGACTTGTCTGAGCGCCACAGACAGCAGTGGCAGTGGAATGCACGGGATCCTCGCTGAGTCACGACAGAGCCTCGATCAACTAGAGCAGGGGTTCTTAACCTTTTTGACCTCGGGGCTCAACTTTTCAAGTACAAAGTGTCCCGGGGCCCATTCAAATATTAACACTATTAGTTTAACTAATTGATCTCACTCTTGGTTTGATTTGTATTCAATAACTATATTGTTACCTGTTCAACTCCACCCCTATTTTGGAGCAAAACTGCCTAAAATGACATACCCAAATTAAAATGGCTGTAGCTTCTGAACCACTCTGACTATATGCATCAAAAGTGTCAGAAAACCTGTAGGTCATACAGAAACAGAGCAGTGGGCCTTTGGAGTCAGTAAAAATTGAAGATTTTTGTCCGCATAAAATAAAAAAGTATTTTTCAGTATAAATAACTGCCCGTGGCTGTATCTGTACAGGTAAGGGACAGTATAGGGCTGTAACTACACTATCAGTGAACAACTGCCTCAAATTTGAAGAAGATTGGACAAAGTATGACCATTCTACACTGTTTCTTCCATGAAGAGATCCAGGCGGAGCTCTAAAAGGATATTTGAAGACCCAAATGGACACATGGTAACCAAATGATATTCTGACACACTAAAGGTGTTTCTCCCTTTATATTTTGATATTATATTATTTTCCTTTTATTTTTAGCCTTTGCAAATTGCAAAAACTATGTATATATGGTCGAAGACGTGGTGTGTGAGTAGCAGACTTGCTGTGTGTAATGGCTGCGAGCAAGCGCACGATCGAGTACGCGGGTAGCTCAGTTACGCAAGGTTATATGTTGGTTGACGGCTTATATGAGAGGAAGATAAGGTTTGTACTATAAGTACTAGCGTTTTCTGAAGCCACTAGCTCCATGGTAACATCCGCTAGCACATTGTCGGGTCTGTAATGTGTCTTTTTCAGTCGAAATGCTGCAAGATCCGACTTGCAGCGGTTATGGCGACTTTGGACAGTGTGTGTTTGGGCTCCTTTTGTGAAACATCCATAAGAAATGAAAGAAAATCGATGATTTCTTTGCAAAGATGAGGATTTTCGGCATGCTGGGATACACACACACACACACACACACACACACACACACACACACACTGCCCCGCTGTCGCACATTGACGAAACTCATGAATACGTCTCTTGTTAAAACACTGTCATTCTTAAAGTATCAGTACTAACAAAATGGGGTGTTGTACCATTTTGATTGGGTATTGTAATACTTTTCTAGTACCGGTATACCGTGCAACACTAATACAGTAATAATAATTTAACAAGTTCATCGCATGTCACACTGCAAGATGGCTCTAATCTAATCTGGTCTTGGTCGTAATCTGTGTCCGACTGTACATTATGAATTTGGAGGCATGTCAGATTTGGCCTGTTAATAGCTGAAAGTGAAATGCTTTTTTAGCAATGGCATTATGCTAGTTTAACATTGTATTCTGTGTCATATCAGGTCATATTCTGAGTTGTTGTTGTTCTGTGATCCAACCCTATCGTCCACACTCACAGACTCACAGACTCACAGACTTTGAGACGCATTCCCGTTAAATCTGTGAGGGCTTTGGCCTGTCCTACAAGGGGCTTTAAAATCTGTACAGCAAATGACAAGCCCTATCGACCCTCGATTCGGATAGGGACCCCCCCCCCCCCAAAAATAAAAAAAACTTTAACGTGTGCTTTTATAACACAATGCTTTAAAATTCCCTATAGGCCCTAGAGCCCTTGCTGTGGTTTGGTGTTCCTAGTTGTTGATACGATTTGAATATTGACATAGGCACTATTGATTT